GCATTGCGGCGCAGAGCGAAAGAGGAGCAACGCGCGAACCGTTTGGAAACTGCAACAACCGCGTCCTTACCGGTAATACCATTTTCTCGCTTATATTACAAGCCGCAGGAGCCTGACAGCGCTGCAGATAAAAGTTTCGCGTTTTTGCCACCGCAGTCTTCTCCATTCTTAATAATTTCGCCAAAAAAAAACGAAAACAGTAATTTAACTACGCCGCGGCCTACGCGAAATCCGTGACCTGTGCAACACCGGGGAGATAAGGATTTCAGTGAACGATAAGGGTGGCGAGTTCGTAGTCATGTCACGTGAAATGGACATGGCAATCACGCAATTGCACCTGATAGATGGTACGACCTACGTGCTCTCATCAGCTGATGAGTTTGGGAAACAATACCGCCGCCTTAAGATTTGGTCTGATATTGCGCGGTCTTCGGGGCTTAACAGAAGCTTAGTAACACGTCTTAAAAACAAAATGCCTATCTGTCCTGTGCTCTACACTTTGATAATGACGCACAAACCCCCGACAGCAGGGCTTTCTTCAAATAATGGCGCGATTACAAAGTTCGATCCATAATCAGCGGTATTGGGCGCCAACGGACAAAATAGGATGGTTCCTTGACATAATTCCGTCGCAGCTGCTCCAATTCGTCCCTATACGCACCTCAATAGTACCAACATGCTCTTTGATCGCCTCCGTACAGCACAGCTTAGCAGCGAATGCGTCATTGAATCATTTGACGTAACATCGATGTAAACCAATGTATCCAACGCTGCACTTCAAGCTAGCTTCGAGTTGCTGTCTGTCTGAGCACCAAGCCTCTCTTTACTTACACGGTTTCAGCATTTACGGAAGAATGACCCTACTACACGACTGCTTGAAATATGTTCAGTATTCCGGTGGTCGGGCCAATATTACAGACAGATTAGAGGCTTGGCAATGGGGCAACGTCTCGCACCTACTTTGGCAATCATCTTCATGTCTAAGATAGAAGCGCCAGTGCTGCAGCGAAAGCCCCTGCTTTACGGTTGCTATATAGAGGACTGCTGCATCATATGCCCAACTCAAGCCGAAGTAGATATTTGCTTCCAAATATTGAACCAGCAGTCACCAACCAGCACGTGTAGAAGAGCTGAGGTTGAGTCTTGTGTATAGTGGTGGTCCTCGGACTCCCGTCTTGTGCTATCTAAGGTGAGTACTGTGCTTGCGAGTATGGTTTTGTTTGGCATTGGCTTTGTTCTTGAATGATACTTTATCTATTGTTGAGGTCTGGTCGAGTAAGTTCATATACTTTCGGCTTGCAGGCTCTGAAGAAGGCGAAAGCGCCGAAACGTTAGCGAATAAAGAAGTGTTATCAACCTTGGAAGTTCGCTCAGCCAATTCCATTACGAGTATTCTCCATGCCAAGGTTAAGAGACAGCCGAACCTGGACAATTTTGTGAACATTTTAAGTGAGGTCGTCAAAAATCTGGAACGTTGCACAAAAATATGATTTTCACCACATAAGTTTTATGGCCTGCTCTTTGCCAAAAAACTGTGTGCTCTTTTCGTTCTCTTGGAAATTACGTATCTGCAAAAAGTGACAAATTAATCAATCGTTTTCTGTTGTTCTCACAGAAACGTTCAAGCAGCACAAACTTTTTTCGATTGCAAAGAGTAGGTCGTAAACTTAGGACTAGGGTCAAGCGTGTGATGCGACTGTCGGAACGGGGGGTCGTAAAGGGGGCCTACGGTGGGGGGGGAGGGTCGTAAAAGGGGTAGTTTGGATAAAAAACCGTACGCTCGAAAGGAATTCAAATAGTAATAATTATTACTATTTTATTACATGTTATTAATGAAATATAATAACATGTAAAAATTATTAATCAAATAGTAGTAATAACATCTAATGATTATTTTAAATAATTAATACATGTTCGTTACAATAATTCGTAGAATGCTGAGTACTAATATATCAAATGAGAACGACTGAGCAACATGTAATGTAAAACATTTGCTTATGTAGAAACTCGCTTTATTTGCTGCATTTTTGAGAGAGTATGACTTGACTTGTTTTTATACTTAGGTTAGTTAGGTTTTGAACTTCTCTCGTCTGCACTCATAGAGCGCAGCTCATAGGTCGCTTCAAGAGACTGGCGACGACAAAGTGTTTATCTCCAAAGATGTTGTCATAAAGTTCGAGAAAATTGTCGTTGAGTTATTACGATGGACTTGTTTCGGCAACTGAGCCGATAGAAATAATTGCTAGTTTGGCCTCCTCTTCGTTCTGAAGTCGGGTGCTGATTTCCTTGACGTCATGGCGAGTTCTCAGCCCGTGCATAGTCATGTAGTGTTCAGTATGTTTAGCAATCAAACCGTTGATCCCCTTAATTCTCAAACATATGTAGCCGTAGGTAAAATGGAAGAAAAACATACCGCTTGCAAGAGCTGTTTTTATCTCTTTCATGAGACTGCCTTCTCTTTCAAAAGTAGAAGGTCGTCCTGCATGTAGATTTAGGCCTAGACGATGATGCAGCCATTGCGCGGCTAGCTGTTGAATTTTGACAGTCAAAATGCTGAGACCATCCCTTTGTATTCTGCGAATGTCAATAGAGCGGACCCAAGTTAAGGCACTTAGAAATCATCACATACGTCATTAATGAATCGAGGGTGCTTGTTGCCAAATTGCTTCTTTCATCTTTTGTGAGTCTGTTTGCAGCCGAAAAGCTACGTTCTGGATCTGCATTACTTGCAGGAACGACTAACACACATCTAATTGCCTAAAACATCATACCTAGTTGCTTTTAAAGCGAATAATGATTTACTACCTGTACAACTTCGCCTGGGCCGGTAGTAATCCCCCCGACCTGGCGGCAGGTCTCGTCGGCAGGTTGGTGGCACCTTTCCGCGAGGTGGCCAGAAACTAAGAACCGAAATTTAGGCCGTCCCAGGCCTTTTTTCAAAAAATTTTCTCGATAAAGTTGCCGCCTCGACTCTGTAGAAAACTTCATAAAAATCTGCGGCTCCAGAACTCCTCCTTTAGTAAAATATCTGGAATTCCAGGAGGAGCTGCCGGCAACTTCGCGATGTCAGTTGCCTGCAACCTGCCGGCAGGTTGCCGGAATCCGCGAGATGGCAGCTGCCGGCAGGTCAGAGAGCACGGGAAATAGCGTGCTCTTTTGAGAGAGCGAGCTGCCGGCATCTCGACGTGCCCCCTACCACGTCGAGGTGGTGGCACCTTTGCCGACGGCGTCTGCGAGTTTGCGAATTGCGGCGATATCACACAATTTACGTCAGGCGAAAAAATCAAAAATTCTACTTTTCATGAAAAAACTATCATTTTTCTCATTATATGGGTTTTTCTTTTTTAAAATGACGATTTTCTTACAGAGAAAAATCCACTAATGCCTTAGAATCATATAGAACACGAACTGTTTTGGCAATCCCCTATAAATCTCCGTTTGCACCGATTTCGCTCCTCTCTCGCTCATATCAATCAGCTGTTCTTTCAGGTCAAAGTCTCTCACGCAATGTATCGATCCCTTTTATAGGCAGCCATTCACCAGTGCGTTCCTCCTATTGCTGGTGCAAAAGGCAATGGCTGACCGAATGGTCGAATGGTTAACGTGGTGGCACTTCAAGCTAACGCACATAGGTTCGACCGCGCGCAAGGTAGCATTTTGCGGCTGTCTGCGTCATCAAAACTTAATGTGCGAAATGATTGCGTGCCAAGGTTACATAGGACTATTGAAACCTACAATCACTCCGCGAGCTGCCGGCGGAGTTGGCATCTTTCCGCGATGTGTGCCAACTTGCCGGCATCTATGATGCCACCAAGTAGGGTAGATTACTATCGGCCCTGGTATCTGTAACGAATCGTAATTAGCGAGAAGCATCTGATAGAAAGATGCGCTTTGTTGCATATCTTTGTAACCGCTTTTCCATTGCAAGCATGTTTTAGCCATTTTTGGTATGTGTTGAAGAATCGTATCATAGGGAATCTTAGATTTTGAATGTTGCAGTATCTTTCGAGAGCGGAAATTGAGGCGTAAATAGGACGATGGCGCTCTTGTGGACCGAGCGCATTTGAGACCGGGTCAATGTAGCTCGGGCAGCCTCTGTCAAAGTAATTAGCTCCTGATGGCACGTAGTCAACGAATCCCGTGTCAAAGTCTCCATCGAAATCCAATACGTCCATGATTGTAGATGTTTCCAGCGCCATTAAGTCGTTCGCGTGGACCTCATGCGTTCTTGTTTCGCCCATTCGCGCAAACAGTTGATCTTTGACATCATTGTAAAATCTCTCCGCGGCATCTTGCAAAGAAGTTGACACAAAATCATGGTAAGCCTTTCCCAGGTTAAAGCGTAACAATGCGCTCTTGTCAATCTCGGGGGCGTCCTCAGCAGAAAAGCTTTGCTCTAGATCTCCGACTGCAGTGTACACTTCGTCAGGAGTTTCTTCAAGGTATCTGAATCGTTTGAATGTCAGCATCTCTTCTCGCTCGTCGCTGTCATCTTCAGCAATCAGAGAAGGATTATAATCTTGAAAAGCTCTGGGATTGTAGGATAGTAATAAGTTGTTGTTGCTCCACTCTTCTTTCCCTGAATTGGCGTCGTAATTATAAAGTTCATCTCTTTCAATCCGACGGTATCTATCGCGCACTCTATCAAATGCTTTGAGTTCTCCCTTTTCAAGCAATCGTGTCGTTGTTCTGCTACTAAGAGCATACTGTTCAATAAGATAGTACAGCTCTTTCCATTTTCGGATATTATCTATCAAAAGAGTTTCTTCTTTATGTAGCCTCAGCGAAAATAAACAGAGCTCTTGAAGTGTAATATTTGCATGGTTTAAAGCCAGGAACACTCTCCCATCCGTGAGCACCCAATGTGCAATCCTAGCTCTTCTCATTGCCGCTGCGCCGCATTCTAATGACATTGGATACTGCATTTGCCAAGCTCGCAGACCATCGAACCGTGAATAATGCCAACATCTCTAGTGGCTTATAGCGCATTTTGTTTGCAATCATATGGTAAGCAGCTCGTCCAGTCGTTCGCACTGTAGAACCAAGGAGATGATAAATTCCATAATGACTGTCTGAACTAGCTTGAATAGTTCACCGTTTTGGGAGGCAAAAACTAGATTGAGCTTATGCGCCATGCACACTGAAAGAAGGAGACTACTACGCGGACGAAAATCTCCAGCGGTTTCTTCTGTCAGGCGATCCTTCAGCAATGCGTAGACACCACCAACATGCCCTTGCATAACTGCTGCTCCGTCAGTTGATAAAGCTATCATGTTCTTCAGTGCGTACTGTCGCACTGTTTGTAGTAAACCTGGAGCATCCCGCCAAGATTCCATACTGTCGAAATGTCTGAAGAGAGCTTCAACGATATGTTCTGCAGATTCGCTTTCAACCTCAGCAAGGAAGAGATGCAGTGTGATAGGACGATGCTGCGGTGACACAGTTCGAAGTGAGAATACTATCCACTTACTCCACGAGAAGATGAGGAACCATCTAGAAGAAGTGTAAACGGCAATTTGTTGGTCATAACATATTTTAGGATGTCGTACTTCATATGCGTCGCAAAAGTCGTTACCATTCGACGCACCGTAGTGGGATCATGATGTGCGCTGACGCCGATAGAACCAGATGTCATTGCCGTAATAAGCAGTGGGAGCGTGGAAAACGGTAGCCCTTGTTTAGCTATGGTATAGGAGGCGAGACTCGATGTTACTGTCGCTGCAATATCATCTGCTGTGGTTTTCTTCCGCTTCGTTTGTCTGTTAAAAAACTCGTCCATGTGCTGCGTATATCTTTAGAGCTCTCATGAATAGACAAGCGCTCAAGAAGGCGAGTAAACGGCAAGTGAGGTCGCTCTCGTAAAGAAACGCTTGACAGTTTTTTCATGCAAAACATACTGTCCTTTCCGAGGAGATTAACTTTCTTCTCAACTCTTCCCGCATCGGATCGCGCACACTTAGCGAACGCTTTAAGTGGATCAAACACTGTGGACTGTAGACTAGACTCTCTGTTACATAATGAGCACCGCATAAAATCTGCGTCAGGAAAATCTGGGTGCCTATAGTACCTAAGATAGGGTTTGTTCAGTAACGTTCTGATTTGACTTTGCGTCAACTCCACGTCATTTATTTTGAGTTTTTTGGGGTTGCCAGAGAGTACTGACTTCTCTTCGGTATGCAGATAAAGTCCAAATTAAATTTTCAGTTCTTTTTTCGCTTGTTCTATCTCGGCATTGTGTAACTCGCTTCTTTCTCTCACCTCGTCCATCATATGATGCAGAAGATTGCTGGTTTGTTGCGCTTGCTGAGCGAGGGCCTTGTGAACGTTAAAGAAGAACATTTTGCGGAACTCGCTCGCATATTGAAAAAGTTAAAGTGAATCCTCTTTTGGGCCCGTGGAAAATTTCCAATTGGGACATCTACATCGCTTCTTTCTTGGCTACCAATGACAAAAAAGTTTGGTATTCGCTGCTTTTTGGCCATTTTTGATTGTTGTAGTCGACGAATGTTGTTGCGAAAAATTTCTCTCGAGCATCCATCTGAATAAAAAGTCATCAAAACGAGGACTATAACCTTTATAAGCTACTAGCTGGCTTACCCGGCTCCGCCGTATCCGGACCAAACTTGGCACACATACACTTCGGGCCCCGGCGGGTGTCACAGTCCACTTTTCGTTATCGATCGATGTCGATTTTACCAATTTTTATCGATTTTTTTGCAGAGTTCACCTACAGGGCTAGGAGTTGGCACAGGGGGGAAGTGAGCATGGGGATTCCGAATACAATATTAGTTTTCAGAATTATCGATTACTTTTATTGATTTCATCGATTTTTTGTGAATTTTGACATGCGAGGCTGGGATTTGGCACAGGGGTGTAATCGAGCATGCTGATCACCCCCCTTGGGGATGATCAGCATGCTCGATTACCCCCTGTGCCAACTCCCAGCCCCCTAGCTCAAACTTTGCAAAAAAATCGATAAAATCGATAAAAGTAATCGATAATCCTGAAAACCAATATTGTATTCGGAATCCCCATGCTCGATTACCCCCCTGTGCCAACTCCCAGCCCCGTAGGTGAACTCAGCAAAAAAATCGATAAAAATCGATAAAATCGATATCGATCGATGACGAAAAGTGGCCTATGACACCCGCCGGGGCCCGAAGTGTATGTGTGCCAAGTTTGGTCCGGATCGGCTTAGAAATGGAATTTTCTATTCGGAACATACGTACACACATACATACAGACAGACAGACAGACAGACATACAAACAGACATTCAGCTTTAAATATAAGACTAGCTGGTAAACCCGCATCCGTACGGCGCTCAACAACATATTTGTAATCAGCATGCTCACTTACCCCCCCCCCCCCCATACAGACCTACGGACATTTGGCTCTATATTCAAGATTAGACTGTAAAAATTAAAACTAAGCCGCTCATCGGTTCTCAGCCACGCTCTAGTATCAAATAGCGAGAAGCAGAGAAAACTTTGAAAGTGATTAACTCACCAAAGGAGACTTCGTGTTTATTGCAAGTAGACCATAGGAACTGAGTTTGAACTTCTTCATGACGCTGTCATATTTTCGACAATTTTCCTCGACTGCTAGTTTGATATACTGCAGGTTAGCAGTATTTTAAAATTTTAGCGAAGAAATTTCGCTGATGTAAGGATGGCAATCGTCTAGTACATTCGATATGGAAAGGATAGCGAAGATGTAATTTAGCGTCAAGCAACACATTATGGCATTACTCCCGATGGTGAAGTTTTGGTCAAGAGAGTCGATAGGAGAGCCAACCGCACAGCGAAACGCAAGTGATTCACTGCTCGCATTCCATAGAGAAAAAATCACAACTCCTGATTCATAGAGCTGTGCTGCATCGCTGCAAAACGAAACAACTGATAAACTACTGTCATCATGAGACATCAAAAATGTCATTTTGTTTTCCGTGTAAAAATTTGTGTCGCATACGGGAATCGAATTTGCTGGCCTGAAGTATGCCTGAAAATTCAGAAAGAAAAACTTGCAGAATCTCGAACATCACTGAAGGTGCGTATGTGCGCTAAAGCTGCTGGGCGCACCCATTGGCCTAGAAATTCTGCTTCCGGAACCTCACCGAAGTCTAACACACTGACAAAAGCGCACATCTAGATCAACGATGACAATCAATAATTCAAAAATCTTTTTGTAATGCCAATTATATGACCCATACAATTTATATGTACTTTAGATAAGCCCTGCTATTACTGTGCGAAATCTGGTGTTATTCTGTAAACTGCGGATTTTTTATGATTTTATGTATGGTAGCAAAAATTCAGGGAAGGGGGGTCGTATCTGGGTCGCATCTAAATTTTTTCGGGGCTATCGAAGCTTGTTGGCTGCAATTTTGCTGCAATATGAGACCATCCTCCAACTTTCCCTCATAAAAATTTCAGCCTGTTTTATAACTTCTCTGCTAAGTTACAAAATTTTAAGTTCAAAAATCCCAGTTTTTGCTTTCTAGGATCGCGTCTAAATTTGCGAGAGTCGCATTTAAATTTTTCGAGCTCACTGTTCCTCAAGGGCTGAAACTTTCTCTATGAATAGTCTTGTTTACTATGCTACAGAACCCGTTCTTTGCAGCCTCTCAATCTTTTCCTGGCCTTAAAATTTTCAAACTACCGTGCTCACGCACGTTTTTGACGTCGTTCTGGACGGCGCTGAAGCGGTTTCTTTCGCGGGAAAAACTGTGGAAGAGGTAGAAAGTAAGCTTCTTAGTCGAAAACATCATTTGTAAATCAAGAATGCCATTTTGTTCTCCGTGTAAAAATTTGTGTCGCATACGGGAAGAATTTGCTGGCCTGAAGTATGCCTGAAAATTCAAAAGTAAACTTGCAGAATCTCAAACATCATTGAAGGTGCGTATGTGTGCTACAGATGCTGGGCGGAGGGGGGGGGGGGGAGAGGGGAGGGGGGAGGGAGTCTTACGGATGGGTACCTTCAAGAGGGGGGGGGGTCGTAAATGAGGGTCCAGGATCGCATCAACACGCTTGACCCTGCTTAGGACTTAACGATTACCGATATTTCTCCACTTTTCAGATTTTTGGCGACTTAACATGGTCAAAACGTAATTGCCTTCTTTTTCCCTTCTTGTCTCTGTAATGTCTGTATGGTCGCCGAGGTACTTCTACAAAGAATCCTTGAAGGTAGCAAAAAGTTACAAATTCAAAAAAAATAAAACGACATAACTTTCACGGCCACCTAATATTAAACCACGGATTCATATTAATATAATAGATGAGAAAAACAAGAGTTTAGAAAATATGACTAACTCATTTTTTTTCATCTTTGCACACTATCTACGAAACTAGCGATCATTAGAATTTTCTAGAACATTAGAGATGATCAGAGAGCAGCTAGCAATCAAGTGAGATGAAGCAACACTCGCACAAGAGATAGATGATAATTATGATTCTGTAGAAAGCGTTGGTTCAAAACTCAAAATCTTACGCACAAAGAACAACTATGTGCAAGCGACTGGACACCATGGGGAGGGGATAGCAACATCTGCTGAAGACCCGTTCTGATTGGGTTAATTGTGCAGGAGCTGCAGTGTAAATCAAGAAGCGGGTGAATTCTCCACTGCCTTTGAGCAAAGCTCTTCAGCTTTTGTGTCGTTATAGCACGGAACATTAATGATCACTACTTCTTGTTTGAAGTTTTCAATTGGACAACTAAAACAAAGTTAATATCTTTCACGCTCAAAATGTATGAAATTTATGAGAATTTGCTAAAAAAATTTTTGTGTACATTTACCATGCTGTCTCTGAAACTAAAAAAGTGCCCTAATTGCAAGTACAGTGAAGAGCGAAGAATATTTTGCGACCGTGTCCTTATTCCTCAAAATGTTTAAAAAATTTACTAGGTCTATCGAAAGTTCGTCTGCACTATTTCGAAAAATCGTAAGCTCTTACCGTCCGGATATTATTGCTCATAAAAATCTTGAAAGAGTAACCACGTACTTTTTTAATGGTACCTATATTTCCTACCAAGTTCTGAATTCCGAGATAAAAATGGAAGAACGAGATCGTTCGAGCTATGACGAACTAAAGCACCATTTCCTGAAAACAATACAAGAAAACCCAAAATAGCTAGTATCATAAGTTTAAGGACTCTTTTTATCCAACTGTGCAGAATTGTGCTGTTCGTGGTTTCTTATGATTTTCGAGGAAATTGCCAAGGAAAATTCTTTTTTTCTTTTTTTTTCTGCTGGCAATTATCTCAAGGATCTTGACTTTTGATAGAAAGGCTCGATTGGCATAAATTTTGCACAGCTGGGAAGAGGAGGTCCAAGAACCTGTAAGAATACGAATTGTTCTGAATTCTCACGCTTGGTTTTAGATTTTGAATGGGCTTGCTTCAAGTCACCGAAGCTTAGATAATATCATTCTATCTTTGTAGTCAGAACTTAGTAGGAAACGCACAACGCACCCTTAGAAAGTACGAAAGTTTTGAATAAATAAATACACATAATTACACATTTATATTGAATATATTTATTATCCTAATTTCACGATATAGGACACATCTTTTTAGACTTTTTAAGGGAGAAGCTCAGCCGCCTCGCTCTACTTCGAAAAACGAGACTCATGAAGCATGATACTCTCAGACACTATGCAGGGCTGTATATAGTTTTTTGAACCGAAAGTTCCTTCGGCTTGTCTGTGCTGTTCGATTTGAGAAAAAAATTCCCCCATTTCCTATATTCGCGAGTAGCAGCAATAACTTTTGAAAATAGCGC